GAATTTATTTTACTGTATGTATAATGGAATGAATTACATTGGGAAAGTCTGCTATCAGTGACCTCTCCAAAGTACTGAAGAGCAATGATGCCAGTCTGGAGACTAAGGTGTGCCTGATTCAGGTGATGGTCTTTGCCAGTTTCTTGCTATGGGTCAGAAAGTTGGACAATGTTTGGGGATAATAGAAGAAGAATTGATGTATTTGAGCTGTGATGCTGGAGAAGAGTATTGAATATATCATGGACTGCTAGAAGAACAAACAATTTCCTCCTAGAGCAGATGAGACCAGGCTGCTCCTTGGAGGCAAGGATTCTGAAGCTTGTTCTGATATACTATGGACATGTTGCCAGGAGGCACCAGTACTTGGAGAGAGATGTCATGTTTGGGAGGGTGGAGGGACAGCGCAGGAGAGGAAGACCCTCTATGACATGGATTGATCCAGTGACTGGGCAATGAGGATAGGTGTGTCAGAGACAATTGGCATAGGATAGAGTAGGGTACAGGGCTGTTGTACATAGGGTTGCTATGAGTCACAGGTGACTCAACAGCACATAACAACAACAGTAATGGAACAATGCCGAGTCCCATGCCATCTTCATGTTTGTGTCCACTGTTGTGGCTGTTCCACCAGGCCAGCTCACTCAGCACTGCTCTTGTTTTTGCTGACCCTCCACTTCCCTAAACATTATCTTTTTTTCTCTAGTAATTGGTTTTTCTTAATGGCAATTCCAAAATAAGGAAACAGAAGTTTCATGATGCTTGCTTCTAAGAACCACAGTGGTTGTATTTCTTCTAAGATTGATTTGTTCTTTCCTCTGATAGTTCACAATGTATTTAATATTCTTCACCACAATTCAAATGTATCAATTCTTCTCTCTTCATTCCTGACAGTACAGTTTTCACATGTGTATGAGGTGACTGAAAAGACGACTGATGAAGTGTGTGGCTGCTAACCACGAGGTGGGTGGGTACGACCCTCCAGCGGCTCTGTAGTAGAAGGATGAGGCGGTGGAGGTCTGCTTCCTCAAACATTGCAGCGATGGCAACCACGGAGAAGTTCTGCTCTGTGCTACAGGGTCACCGAAGGTTGGAATCAGCTAGATGGCACGAAGAGGATTTTGTTTGTTTGGTTGGTTCAGGCACACTTTTGTTATCAATGTCATGTCTTTGCTTTTTAAAAACTTATTTAGGTCTATTTTTAAAATGACTTATTTAAAAATCTTTTTTAAAAGGTCTATTGTGGGCAGATTTCTGCCTTTTCTGTATAGATAGGTAGGTAGATAGATAGATAGATAGATAGATAGATAGATAGATAGATAGATATAGATACTACAATTGTTTTGGTTTACAATTTTTTTTTCCTTAACGCAGTTCTGAGGACATTTTAATTGAAAAGGCTTTGATGCCTTTGGTCTTCAGATGCATGAATATGATCTACAAATAACAACTTGATAGGCCTTAGGTAGTGATATGAAATGATGCTTTCTGACCAAATATCAACTACTTTTGGGTTGTTTAATCCATGATTCACCCTTAGTCAACAACTGAGATTTCCAAGGCAGAGGCACAATCATTCTCTTCCCTGCTCACATCTAAATTAGTAGCAATTTAATGCCCTTGGCCTTGCTTAACTTTTTCAGTTGCATGTGGTGAACGTTATCCAGTATTCTGGGCTAAGGCTGTGGTGGAAGATATGGGAAAGGCAATGGGTGGGAGAAGTTAGAGGAAGAGTGAGTAGGCTTAAAGGTACTTCACTAATTGGGGCAGAGGGTAGGCAGGGATGAAGGGAGGTAGACAGGCTGGTGGGGCTGGGTGGCATAGCTCTCAAAGACTGGGAACTACATGGGACTGGAGGCAATGGAGACAAATTCTTGTGCAGTCCTTTGCATGGCAAAGTCAAATGGCAGGGTCAAGACACCTGGTGACTGTCCTGCATATAATATAGTGTTCATACAATGTCCAAATCACATAATGTCCTATTTTACAGAACATATCATGGATGTTAAGTGATGCATAGCTATGTTTTGGAAATCCATGACTACATTGTAATTAAATTACTATAATGACTCCCAACACTTTGAGGAAGAAATATCAAACTTTTAGTCTACCTAGCTATATAAACACATGCTGTACAAAGGGGTGTTAGGACTGAATATGGTCAAAGTAGAAATAATCTTAGTAAAAGACACTTCAATTAGCACATGAGTTTAAAGATCCTGTATTTTAATCCTAAAGGTAGTGTGTATTTTAAAGAAGATGTAATTTTCTTTGACATAAGGTTTTTAATAATAGAAAACACGCAGTCTGATTCCCTCTTGGAAGAAGACTAATTAGCAACCTGCAATATGCATATGATACAACCTTGCTTGCAGGTAGTGAAGCATATTTGCAGCACTTCTTGATGGAGTGAAGCCTTCAGAAGAGATATTAGTCCTCAACAAGAAAAGAAAAATTCTCATGACTAGACCAACATCATTATAAGTGAAGAAAGATTTAAAATTGTCAAGGATTTCATTTTACTGAGATCAATAATCAATACTCATGGAAGCAGCAGGTAAGGGCAAATCTGCTGCTATCAAGTTCCTCTTTAAAATTCCTGAGAACAAGGATTTCACTCTAAAGGCCATAGTGCCCCTGAGCTAAACCATGATCTTTTCAATGGCTTCATATGCATGTGTAAGCTGGACAGTGGATTTGGAAGACCAACAAAGAACTGAGGCACTTGAACTGTGGTGTTGAGGAAGAATATTGAATATACCATAGCCTACCTAAAGAATGAACCAATCCATCTTGAAAGAAGTACAGACAATGTGCACTTTAGAAGGAAGGATGGTGAGACTTTCCCTTATAACTTGGGCCGTGCCATCAGGAGGGCCCAGATCTTAAGAGGAGGACATCATGTTTGGGAGAGCAGAAGATCACTGAAGAAAGGAAGATGCTCCATAAGGTGGATTGATCTTTGCTGAAACATTGAGCTTAAACACAGCAGCAGAGATTGAGACTGGTGTAGAACTGGTTATAGTTTTATGCTGTCGTACATAGAGTTACGAGTAGAGACTCAGGACACATGACAACAGTATCATTTTATCGTATACCAACCATTTTGATAAGAGGTTCTAATTCTTGAGGGCTTACTTATAACAAACATTGTGCTAAACATCTTACATGTCTTGTATAGTTCTTACTGCATCACTACCAGGGAGTATTTTACATATAAAGCAATAAAGTCTTAAGAGTTTTATAGTTTCAGGTGACATAGGGCTATCCAATCAGTAAATTATGGTGAAGTTGCCTGATTTAGATCTGCTTAAAATGGATTAAAGAGAAAATTATGGGCACAATCAAAGAGCAGGAGTAAAATAGATTTCATGGAGGGAAAAATATGACACAAACCCAAATTTTGAGCTAAATGTTGACCATGGGCTGTGTGTGCTCTCTCTTCCACGATGTTAAGAGACAAAACCTTGCAACAAGTAATCTCATGACTAACGTTAAAAAAGTCTTTTTTCAGGAGCAAAAGAATTCTTCCTTTAAATGAAAATAGCCCCAAGCTTTTAAATGATTATTTCCCATTGTATTGCTCCCTTCCTGTCACTGTTTCCGAGCTAGAACACAGAGTCCTTGGTGGGAAAAGGAAGGGCATACTCATCAATCTCCATTAACAGTCTGGAGTGGTTTCTGTTGTCTAATAATCTGAGTTGTTGGATCTGCAAATATTCACAGAGGTGGATGAGCTAGTCATTCCCATTTGACATTTCCTTTAGCTCTCAATGTACCATTATATAACAACACATGAATTGGGCAGATCACTTAAAATTCTGTTTTTCCCAATAAAATTCTTGGAGTTATGCCAACAAAGAGCAGAACTCTTTCTAGAAGTGCTTCATATGCCAAGAGAAAAGAAGTTCCTACTGTAAATTAGTATATGGTACAGGAGCACATCAGCAATGCTTCAACAAAAATTAAAATAAAACAAACACCTGCGGTTTTCTGATGTTCAAGTTCACTGTAAGGATTAAAGGTCCAGCGGTGTAAATTATGCAACAGTTTATCAACTGAGCTCATTCACAGTCTACACTCAATTTACATGTTAGTCTTAATCCAACCTGACATACTTATTTCCTTTTAATAATTTTATTTTTATTAGTTATGTTTTTAAAAAATATGGGGCTACTGAAATCAATGTTAGAGAGTGTGAGAGATTTGTTTTAAGAATATTGTACTGTTCTCACCTGACAGATTGAAAATTCTCTCCCCTTACCAAGGAAAAACTTCATTTATGTTTCTCTCACTTAACACCATCAGGTTGGAACCTACTCATAGCTGACCCTCCAGCAGGTTTTCTGATTATGGAAATAGTATGAGAGGAGATTGTTTCTCTTTCTTCCTTGGAACTGCTGGTGGGTTTCAGCCACCACTGGGGCACGGCCTTTGGATTAACTTGCTACAGACAATGCTACCAGAACTCCCTGCGCATATATTATCTCAGGATCCCGCCTCCCCATTATTTAAGAGGATCTCTTTAATCAGTAAGATATCTCACACTGTAGTCTTCATAGCTTTCCTGCTATCTCTGTTGAAGAAAGCTTTGGAGGTATCAAAGTTCAAGGTGAAGGTATATGGCAGTGTTTCTTTGGCTAGACCAGATGTCAAAATAAAACCAGGAATACCATCCTTCTCTGGAACCAAGATTAATTTACCTTTCTGAAGTCCAGTGTTTATCTGCGTGTGAGAAAGAAGCTGAAAGGACAGGTCACCTGGCCCTTGTAGACAGGCTAGCATGGCAGACTGGCATCAACACAGCATGTCGGTGACTGGGCCCTGCCCTCATGGCTGCTCCACAGTAGCCTGCTGCCGCCACTGCTGCTTGACCAACTGGCCCCAGAGTCACCACCCTAGCTGAGAATTTCTTAACCTCTCAGTGGGCCAGCAGAAGGAAGGCCGGAAAGAGTCACCTCTTACACAAATCATTTCTTTCCGGGTGCTATGAGGGCACTTACACTTGCAGGCATCAGGCGCAGAGAAGGGTCTCCGGAGGTCTCGGTAGAAACCTGGCTTACACCGCTGGCAGTGCTGGCCCTCCGTGTTGTGCTGACAGTCATTGCAGACACCCCCGCTACGGTTGCCTGAGGCCTCCCACACGTTCATGTCAAAGTGACAGGTAGCAGCATGGCCGTTGCACTTGCAGGCTGCGGAAAGAGAACCATGGAGGGGAGACAAAATAAAATGTTAGGATGCTCAAACACCTCGACAGTCAAAAACATGCCGACTGGCTGATAATTTGTATTATTCTGAAGTAAGGGAGCACCTGTGTCCTAATCCATAGGGAGTGGAGCAGCTAATCCAAAGACCTCGCCTCTCTGTGATTCAAATTCACCGGAGGCTCTGAAAAATGGTCAGTCTCCTCATGTGTGACTTACTGTTTTTGGCAACCCAACTGAGGGTCAGTTGAGTTGATTATGAATCCATGACAATTGATCTTTTTTATGATGACTGATCTTTTTTTAATTATTTTTTTTTTGTCTCTCTGGAGACTAAGGTGCATCTGATACAGGCCATGGTCTTTGCTATCACTTGTTATGCATCAGAGAGTTCAACAATGAGTAAGGATAGAAGGAGAATTGATGCCTTTGAGCTGTGGTGCTGGAGAAGAGTACTGAGGGTACCATGGACTGCTAGGAAAACAAACAGATTCATCCTGGAAAGGATCAAACTGGGCAGCTCCTTGGAGGCAAGGATTCTGAGGCTCTGTCTAACATACTTTGGACACACTGTAAGGAGGGACCGGTTCTTAGAGAGGGACATCATGCTTGGTAGGGTGGAGGGACAGCCAGGAGGGGAAGGCCCTCTAGGAGGTGGATTGATTCAGTGACTGGGGTAATTGGGGTGGGTCCAGAGACAGTGCGATTGGCACAGGACAGAGCACAGTTTAGGGATGTTGTACATATAGGGTCGCTATGAGTCGCAAGTGACTCAACGGCACATAACAACAACAACAATTTTCACCATGCAGGAGACAAAATTATATAAGAAATAAAATGAGAACTCTAACCTCTATGATCCCAGTTAACCTGTTTCCTTTTGCTGTCAAAAAATTACTACTTATTTCAAGTTTCTCTGGATGCTGACTGTTTTTCTTTCTAGATAATGTTGTTATGTGCTGTTTACTCATACCTGACCCTTCAGTGGGTTTTCAGCGGTTGTAAAGGCACAGGAGTTTATAAATCACCCATCCTTCTCCAGTGGAGCAGCTGGTGGATTTGAATTGCATTCCTCTGGGCTGACAACACAGTTCCTTATCACTAGACAGCCAGAGCTCTCTTCTTTATAGATTGTTGGTTTTGTCTGCTGTTGAGTCAGAACTGACTCATATCTGACTCTGCAGCCTGTTTTCAGGGACGGGTTAATTGCACGGGAGGAGATTTGCCATTCTTGTCCTGTTGAGCAGCTGGTGGATAACTCATTTATTTCTATATCTATATCTACATTCACATTAGGATATACCTGAAATTTAGTTCAATAAAATGTAGATTTGTCTAGGTAGTCAGAGAAATTATAGTTACTTAGGACCTGGAGCTGACATTTATTTTAGAGAGATATCAGGGTGGTCAGTGGTTTTAGCAGGGTTCCCCGCCCCTCTTTTGATGGAAACACTTCCAGTCATTTCCATTCTTGCTACTTCCTGTCAGTGTCACCATTGTCATCATCTGATCTAGTCTGGTATTATTTGAAAGTGACAATTCATGTTGCAGATACAGGCCTGAATTCATATGCACCAATGAGCCAGCTTACCCGGGTTAATAACCTGGGAGAAATGGATTTGTCTTTTATGAAGGATTTATCAGGCATCATTATATTTCTTTTTGCATCATTATATTTTTGAAGTAATCTCCTATACAAGACTCAAATTTTTAAAAGAAAACCACCACCACTATTACTATTGATTCTCTCCTGTAGTGATTTTTTTCCAAAGGCATTTCTGAGATGATCAGTTAAGAGCATCTAATGACAAGTTTCAGTGCTCTATATGAATTTAGATATGCAGTTGGTTTCTGTGGAAAGAGCCAGAATGGCACTCTAGGAATTTAGGAGGAATTCTTTAGATTCTCTTGATGAGTGATTTAGATTAAGAATTCAGAGTTGTTCATGAAGGTCAACTGTATGTGAAAATATTTGTACTACTGTTTTTTTCCATTGTTTCCTTGACATGTTATGATATTTTGACCAGATTTATAATCTTTGAAAAACAAATTATAAGATAATTTAAGATTTATGCTTAGAGGAAATCCTTTACATTTCCTAGAAGCAAAAATAAATCAGTTCCAATTCCAAATTATGTATGGGAAGAGACTTCCCACGACAGTAATCACAAGAAAAAGCCAGTTGTCTCAGATTGATTCTGACTCATGGTAAACCCATGTGTGTGTGTGTGTGTGTGTGTGTGTGTGTGTGTGTGTGTGTGAGAGAGAGAGAGAGTAGAACTGTGTACCCTAGGATTTCATAAAATTGATTTTTCAGTGGTACATAGCCAGGCCTCTCTTCTGATGCACCTCTGAATGGACTCAAATCTTTCAGTTAGCAGGCAAGCGTGTTTTCCATTTGTACCATCCAAGAAATTCTAACCCATAATATTTGCCTTTAAATCGTTGTAAAATAAAGACATGTAAGGGTAAACATTGTTATAGGAATGTGTATTTCTTGGAATATTTTGAACTGCAGGAGAAAAATAACTCATGTTCTCATATTTTTCCACTTTCCCATCTAAATGCCAATCTTGATCTCAGAATAAGTCTTGACATTGCAGTCTCATTACTGACTGATTTCAAATATGTTTTGTCATTTCAAGTCCCCTTCATGAAAAGAAAGACTTGAAGGTAGTGAGGGGAAAGCACCTGATCTGGAGTCTGAAGAGCTGGGATCAAGTCCTGACCCTGTGATCTACTAACATTGGCAAGGCACTTCATTTACTGAGCTTCAATTATTACCTGCTTTCTGCATAGGATTAAGATTGGTTCCTTTCTGGCGTTGTTTTGAGAAGCAAATTAAGGAGAGCTGTTTCCACTATTATAATTCACTATCTGAGCTCTGAGGATGTAACCTTGAGTTGCTCTGTGTCTAGTCATGTTTTTATTATGCCAAGTTCTTAAGAAGGGTGCTCATATCCACAAAGTATCCAAGCAAACAGGCACCACATTCTTGGCAAAATAGTTAGATTGGCAACCTTGTAAACAGTCTGAAGTCATAGTGGGCAGTGATCTGAACCATGCTGGTGTAGGTTACAGTTGTCTTTCACCCACAACTTTCTATTGTGTTTCTAGAGACAACAAAATGTCTACAGATTAAATTGACTTTTCGAAAGAAAGCTTCTGAGTTCTCTGGGATGTTACTTACTTCTGCACTCTTTGGGAGCCCCGGTTTTGCCATCAGCTGCCTCCCAGGGGCGGTCATTGTATAATGGTGCACAGCGCTGACAGTGGGTGCCGGCTGTGTTGTGCTTACACATACACTTCCCATGGACCTACAAAGAAAAATCATTAAGAGCTATGAGCACAAATGATGCTGGCGAAGAAAGTTCTTCCTACAATCTCCTATCACTGGTTGACTTGAGCCATAAGACAATATTCATCTACTTTTCTGATGAAATTACCAATCAACATGAGTGATTCTTTCTTAATTTTTCACATAATTGATTCAAAAGATTAAATAATATATTTCCTTGGCTACAAGAAATAAAACTCTAACAAAAAAAAATTACTGAAGTACGAGCTAGGCACTTACTTAAATGTTTAAGATCTTTAAACTTTTTCTTTTTAATAGTAATATATTTTCAAAATAGAAAATTTAAAAATCTGTAATCTAATCACAAAGTAACATGTTTACCAACATATGGGGTACATATTTACAATATTTTAAAAATATAGTTATTTTTATAATTTCCTTTTTATATAATATGTTGTGGATATTTTTCCTTCTCCTGGTGTATTCCTGTAGAACACACATCTTAATGGCTCTCTTGTATTGTGTATAATTTATATTATTAATCATCTATTTTTGGTTATTTAGGCTTTTTAAATATATTACATATTAGCTTAAGGGTTATGTGAGCATCCTGGTAGTTCAGTATTTGTGTCTATTTCTGTTTCTCTAGAATACATGTATTTGCTAGAAGTAAAATTGAAGGTTTAAGATATGTATATTTTTAAGGCTTTTAATTCTGTCATATTGATTAGGCATTTTCTTTTGACATTATAGTTCAGAATATATGGAAGGTTATTAAAATAATATTTCTATTAGGAGTAAATATTAGTAGAATTCTTATTGATCTGAGAAGCTTAAGATAATTTAAATATTTCTTATATAACTTAATTGATAATTTCTAAAAATTAATATTCAAATTAATCTGTTATACCTCCTAATAACTAAGCATTCCCATGAATTCCAGAACCAAGATGCATTTATTGGCAAAGGATAGCATGACTGTAGAAATTAAAGTTTTGCAAAGGAGCTTGGAATGAGGCTCATAAATGGATCTGAGTCTCTATTTTTCCTGAGAAATAGTGTTAAATGTAACTCAGTATAACTGTAACAGCGTATATTAACTAGCCAACAAAGAAAGGAGCCCTGGTGGTACAGTGGTTACATTCTAGGCTGCTAACAGAAATGTCAGCGATTTGAATCCATCAGTCATTCCATAGGAGAGAGATGTAGTCTGCTTCCATCGAGGTTAACAGTCTTGGAAACCCAGGGGGATTCTACCTAGCATATACTTTACTGTAAGATGGCAACAACTTGACAACAATGAGGTTTTTGGTTTGGTGGCTCAAATGAGGAAGTACTCTGCTGTTAACAGAAAGGTCTTCAGTTCAAATCCACCAGTGACTCCTTGGGAGAAAAGATCTGGCAATCAGCTCCCATAGAGATTACAGCTTCTAAAACCCTAGGAAGCAATTTTACTTGATCATATAGTGTCTCTAGAGTCCGAGCCACTGAGTGGGTAGTTTGGTGGTAGAATTCTCATTTGCCACATGAGGGGGTCTGATTCAATTCCTGGTCAGTGCACAGAATGAGAGCTTTAAGCAGCTCTGATGGTACTGTGGTTAAAGCATTCCTATGAACTGAAACTGACTTGATGGCAAACAATAAATCAACATGTATTTAATGACTATCTACACAGATGAGTCATTCTCTTAGGCATAACTTGCTTTACTGTTAGTATAAAACGGTTTCTGAAAACCTGCCAGAGGATCAGGTATGAGTCGGTTCCAATTCGACCGTAATCAACAGCAACAATGGCAGTGAGGATTTCTGAGGAGGGGCAGGAATGCATCATTATTGTTATGGGCCACTGAGTTGACTTCAACTCTTAGTGACACTTCGTACCACAGAACAAAATTCTGCCTGCTGTTGCACCAGCCTCACAGTCTCTGCTATGCTCAAACCCACTGTTGCAATCACCATGTCAATCCATCTTGTTGCGGGCCTTCTTTCCTTTCATTGACCTTCCTTAGACTCAGTCTTTCTCTGAGAAGTGTGATATTGTTTTGGTTTCCATCAAGTTGAGCATGACACATAGCGACCCTAAGAATAAAAGACCGGAAGCCTTTCTATGACTAGCATCGCTTCTCAAAGTTCATAGAGTTTCCAGAGGCATGCTGGTTAGGAAGTGGATGCCACTCCTGCTTCCAAACCTGTCTTAAACTTGGAGCTCCAACAAACGTTGCCCACCATGGGTAACCGTTATGGTATTTGACATCCTAATGGCACAAAGTTCAGCATCACAGCAACCTCAGGTTGCCTCAGTACAGTGAATTGACAGAAGAGTGCTGTACCACTTAGAAGAATGTTCCTCTAAAACAAAATAACTGACTTTTAAATACAAAGGCCCTCCATGAGATCTTGTTGAATCTTAACAAGAGACTTAAATAAAACCCAACCCATATAATATGTTGTAGTTGTTATGTGCAGTTGAGGTGCCTGTGGCCCATAGTGACCCTATATACAGCTGCTCTGAACCCTTCCCTGTCCTACTCCAGTCTCACTGATTCCGACACACCAACTCCCATTGCCCCAGTTACTGTATCAATCCATCTCATCCGGGGTCTTCCTCTCCTGCACTGTCCCTCCACCCTTCGAAGCATGATGTCCTTCTCCAAGGACTGGTCTCTCTGGCCACATGCCCAAAGTATGTCAGATGGAGCTTAACCTGCTCAAAGGATATGAGATGATGCATCCCCATTTTTGCTTCTAAGGAGAACTCTGGCTGTACTTTTTTTCAAGATACATTTATATTTTTTCTTTTATTGGCAGATATTTGTCAGTATCATAATGCAAAGACATGTATTCCTTTTTTCCAAAGAAAGAAATATTCTTAAGTATTCATTACTCACTGTCCCACTTTCACATGCATATGAAACAAAAGAAAATATTATGGCTTAGGTTTTAGTCTTGAAAGTAACAGCTTTGCTCCTTTGCACTTTTAAGAGGTCCTTGGCAGCAGAATTGCCAAAACTGAGGAAGACCTGAAGTATTTGCTACATAAGGTCAAGGAATGCAGTCTTTAATATGGATTGAAGCTCAACATAAAAAAACCCCAAAACCCACAAACAAAACAAACCACCTAAGATTCTCCCCACTGGGTCAATTGGGAGCATCATGATAGGAAGAGAAGAGACTGAGATTGCTAACAATTTCTGGTTTTTGGATCCACAAACAACATTTTTGGAAGCAGCAGTCAGGAAATTAAAAAATGAATTCCATAAGGAAAGTCTGCTGTCAGGGACCCCTCCAAAGTGCTAATGAGCAATGATTTCAGTCTAGAGACTAAGGCCATTGTCTTCACAAGTATTTGCTGTGCATTAGAGAGCAGGACAGTGACTATGAGTGACAGAAGAAGAACCAATATGTTTGAGTTTTGGTGCTGGAGAAGAGTACCGAACGTACTACGGACTATGAACATACTATGGAGAACAAAACAAACAAGCCTGTGCTGGAGAAGGTGAAACTCGGTTTCTCCTTTGGAGGCAAGGATTTTGAATCTCGTCTAATATACTTTGGGTATGTATGCAGAGCAGATTATCCGGGAGGCTGGGCTCTATGAGGAGAATTGTGGCATCAGGATTGGTGGAAGATCTATTAACAATCTGCGTTATGCAGATGACACAACCCTGCTTGCTGAAACTGAGGAGGACCTCATGCACTTGCTGCGGAGGGTCAAGGACTGCAGCCTTCAGTATGGACTGAGGCTTAATGTCAAGAAGACAAAGATTCTCACTGTTGGACCAATTGGCAGCGTCAGGATGGATGGCAAAGAGATTGAGATTGTTCACAGCTTCAGTTTGCTTGGCTCCATGGTCAACACTCTTGGCACCAGCAGTCAGGAAATCAAAAAGCGTATCACGATGGGAAAGTCTGCTGTTAGGGACCTCTCTAAAGTACTCAGGAGCAACGGTGTCTCTCTGGAGACTAAGGTGCACCTGATACAGGCCATAGTCTTTGCAATCGCTTGTTATGCATCAGAGAGTTGGACAATGACTAGGGAAGACAGAAGGAGAATTGATGCCTTTGAGCTGTGGTGCTGGAGAAGAGAATTGAATGTACCATGGACTGCCAAGAAAACAAACAGATTCATCCTGGAGAGAGTTAAATGAGGCTGTTCCTTGGAGGCAAGGATACTGAGGTTTCGTCTGACATACTTTGGACATGTTGCAAGGAGGGACCAGTCCTTGGAGAGGGACATCACATTTGGGAGAGTGGAGGGACAGCCAGGAGGGGAAGGCCCTCTATGAGGTAGATTGATTCAGTGACTGGGGTAATTGGGATGGGTGTGTCGGAGGCGGTGCGGTTGGCGCGCAGGATAGAGCAGTGTTTAGGGCTGTTGTGCATAGGGTCGCTATGAGTCGCAAATGACTCGACGGCACATAACAACAACAACAAAAGTTGTCAGGAGGGAATAGTCCTTGGAGAAGGACATCATGTTTAGAAGGATGGAAGGGTCAGCACAGGAGAGGAAGACCCTGGATGAGATGGATGGACACAGGAACTGGGAAAATGGGGGCATATGTGTCAGAGAGAGTGGGACTGGCTCAGGGTAAAGCACGGTTCAGAGCTATTGTGCTTAGGATTTAGTCACAGTCAACTCGCCGGCACATAAGAACAACAACAACAACCACAACATGCCTTTTGATTTCTGAACTGCTATATTCATTGAGGGTCGCTATGAGTCGCAGGCGACTCAACAGCACATAACAACAACAACAACAACAACAACAACAACAACATATCCATTGAGGTGGATTGTGGACCCAAATGAAATGAAATCCCTGGCAACTTCAATCTTCTCTCCATCTATCATGATGTTGCCTATTGGACAAGTTGTGAGGATTTTTGTTTTCTTTTTTTTATATTACATTTTTTAAAATTATTATTAATTTCAATGAACATCTACAGAGATTTTGGAATTCCATTCATTCATTGTTGCACTTTTCTCTCCACCCACTCACCCCCACCCCCACCCCCATT